GAGATACGGCTGCTTAATGGCTACTGGGACGGAGTAGTTTACCAGCGTGTGCCACAGCATCCAACAATGAATCACCACAAAGTTCGTTGCGGGATCCCCTAGGCTGTGCTGCTGCACGACGCGGGGCACCGGGCGAAGAGCGCCCGGTTGACTGCCAGAATGGCGCGGAGGAGCACCTAGTCCCTCCTTAGCGCCGCTTTCACCGTGAAAATGTCTTATCAAACAACCATCTGCCTCCGAATTTCTTTCGTAACTCTCTTGTGGTGTAAAATTCTGTTTTGCTGTGCGTAGTCGTGTATGAAGCGATCCTGTTGTAACTAGGTTGCGGCTGCTTTAGACTCGGATCTTCCAGCGACCTCTCATGCTGTGGACTGTGCAGCATCTGCGTCGCCAATGACCGCGCAATGGGTTATCGCCGTAGATGTACTTAGATTTTAGCGCTAGCACAGGACACACATAAAGAAATAATTTCGCATTAATCGGTCATTCATGGCCTCCCTAGCAACTAGAGCGAAGTACATCTAGGCTACTGCTCAGGAGACATTCCATCAAGGTCATGATTTCTACACCACCGGCGCCAGTCTTGCTCGACGGATGCACTGACCTCACTCGGGCTTAGCGCTTTCCATTGTTGGGAGGAGCGTGAGGGGAGCTGGTAGGGGGACTGGGGTCCGGCTCGCTCTTGGTCGACTTGTTGTGCGACCGTTTGCCGTTGTTGGGAGGAGCGTGGGGTGGATTGGTAGGAGTACTCTCCGGCTCGCTCTTGGTCGTCTTGTTATGGGAACGCCTGCCGTTGTTGGGAGGAGCGTGGGGTGAATTGGTAGGAGTACTCTCCGGCTCGCTCTTGGTCGTCTTGTTATGGGACCGTCTGCCGTTGTTCGGAGGAGCGTGGGGTGAATTGGTAGGAGTGGTCTCCGGCTCGCTCTTGGTCGTCTTGTTGTGGGACCGCTTGTCGTTCTTGGGAGGAGCGTGGGGAGGGTTGGTAGGAGTGGTCTCCGGCTCGCTCTTGGTCGCCTTGTGATGCGTCCGCTTCTCTTCGTGCTGCCCCGGCTGAGGATCCCGCTTGGCGAACTTGGCGAGCGTCGACTCCTGCAATCAAAGACGGATGAGCCACCATCCGCTAAGGCCCGAGCGAAAATGCGACACATACAGTGTTGGGGTTGGCAAGTGCGCCCACATCGTCTCTGAGCAGGACCAAATCTCCCGTGGTAGGGAGCGCAGTGATGCTAATGGTGGTAAGCACCATAACGAGAGCGGCGGTCATGTGGAAACGCATGGTGGACTGTGAAAGAGAAGGTCAAATCGACTTGGTACACAATCGAAGGGAAGGGCGGATGCGTACTGCTGGAGCTAATATCGACTGAGGATGTTGGTTGGAGAAATGCCGTCGCATCCTCAAGACTTTATACTCGTAGACAAGAGCAGAGCTCGGAACAGTGGACTACTTGCTCCGGCGAAGGCGACCGATCCACGAGCCAGGCTCCTGTATCTCCAGACGTATGGAGACGGAAGCCGTCCTTGTCGGAGAGAAAAGGAAGTCGTCAGACGTAGCCCACCTACGCGTTGAAAATTCGCATACTGAATCAGGGGATAACATGTACGGAGGACCTCACTTACTGGAGCACTCAGCTGTGACTAGGTCGAGGTCCACGATGATGCTTCGTCATGCCGTTGATAGTATATGCCGTACAAAGGCACGTAAAACTTGACGAGACTAACTTCAAGTAGTTCGATGATCGCCGGTTTGGTTCGCCTGCGGAGATGATCGACAAGATCCAATGTATAGTACTTCGTAAGCGTCCGATGTCGGTGGAGACTTCCCCGTAACTCTGGGGAATAGTCGTCATGCATTGCCCGATTGGCGACCAGTTCTACGATCTCATTCGGGTAAAAGCGACAGCCAGGGTCGGGAAATGGTGGTGGCGTGGCCAGGGCGAAGCCACCAGGACCATCGACGGGAACATGACCAGGTGTAGAACGTATTCCCCACGATGAAGACCATGCTCAAAGCCACTGGTTCGTATACGGCCGGCTCTGGGCAGACTCGGTCAAGTCAATGGTTTCGTTCAAACAGATGTTCTGTTGATCATGCAGGTCGGGCGGGTGCTGTTGTGTCAATGTGGTGGCCGACAGTGAGCCTGACAATGATGATCGACGTTGGGGGTAGAGTTAGAGCACGCACGTCGTTATGTTGATGATAATTGCGTCGCTAGGGGCCCGCAGAGGATGCCGGAGTCCCGCTAACGACGTAATTGAGCGAGCGAAGCCATGTCTACGCGCCTGGCATCGCTGAAAGATCAGACGAGGCGAGAGACGAGGTCGAAAAGGTCGCTATAATGTGATATTGAACCTAGTCGATGGCAGAGCGGGTCGTTCTAAGTAGCATACTTCAGTTTGAATGTTTCTATGACTTGTAGGTCAGATCGCCTTTAGCATGCGAGGGGAGCGCATTCACATCTGGGCGAGGGGACTGTCCATGAGTATCGTGTTACCGCCCAGTGCTCATTCTCTACGGAGCCGGAGAGGTACTCGTGACAGGACCATTCCTCACGTTGACCAACACCCTTCGTACAAGGAAGATCCATACGCTCAACGAGACTAACTTTGTAGATGCGGATGATCGCCGGGCTCGTTCGCCTGCTGCGGTGATCTACAAGATCCAACCTACAGCCCTTTGTAAGCGTCTGATGTGGTTGGAATATTCCACTAGCGAAGCCGCAACCATGCATTGCCTGATTGGCGACAAGATCTGGGGCCTTGCTCGGGTGAAGGGAACGGCTGGTAGGGTTGCGAAGCGGAGGTGGCGCAGCTACCATGGCCATAACGGACCAACGCATTAAAATCGGTCGCGTGTAGAACATGGCGTTCCTTATGCAGTAAAGGCGTGTAAAAATAGACTGAGGTCAAGTGCAGCATGGCCCTAGTAGGCTTGCAGTCGATAAACTCCGTCGAAGTAGATGTTCTATCGAGTGTGAAGGCTGGGTGCTGTTGTGTCAATGTGGCCGCCGACAGTGGCACTGACAATGATGGATGTCACTGGAGATAGAGTTAGAGCATGGGGGAATCAGCATACCTCTGGCCATGTGGTTCACGATTTGCTGGTTATTCGATCGAACAGCGGCGCGATCACTGTGATGCAACACGACAACAAAGACACCTGTAAATAATGCAAGAGACAAATTATCGCTGCCGGCAAATGATAGATGCTTGGGATATCGATGT